AATCCCTTAAAGACAGGAGAAGAGGGAGAATCTCTTGACTTTTACTATGAAAATATGGGTTAAAGTCCAAAGGGAAATGGCTTCCAGAGTTCTAGAGTAAGCAAATGTGGAGAGAGCTTTCCAAAGATAAGGAAATTGCCCAAACCAGAGAATTGGTTTAGTGTCTTTCATAGTTGTTTTCTATTTAAAAACTTTCCTGGAAATATGACCTCTGATATCACCCAGAGAGACGTTGTAACATCACTCCCTTCTTACGATGCTGTCCAGTTTTACAATTTTTGTTTTCAATTTTTTATGTTTTGCTTATGTGGCCTTTAGGAAATTATAGATTTGACTTTCTTATTTTAACTAAGAGACTTCTCTTTGGGAGAGTGGGTTCCTAGGACAAGGCCAAGATTTCCCATGGCAGAGAGCTCTCTTTCTGTATGCGGGTCCGAGGGATTTTTATTTTATATTTTGGTGTAACGGTAGTATTTCATATTCCTTGAGCGGTGCACTCAGTTTCTGTTCAAAAGCAAATAGGACATCCTCTTTTTTCAGGATGCAAAGATATTTGTTACTTTTAGGATTTTGGACTTGAGGGGCTTGCTCTACTTTGCAAAGAAGTGCCAGGTGATGTAAAAGCTCCAAGGAGTCACTCGTTTCATTACCCCCGTCTGCCTTTATGTACAGATGAAATGTGCAGCGTTAGTAAAGATTTCAGCGCTTTGATCTATCTTCTGCCTCCCAACCCGTGCTTCTGTGCGGGGCGCGACTCGGGGCTATGAGCGCGCAGGCCTCCCACCCGTCTGCCCCAGGGAGCGCGCCGCGCCCAGCGCTGGGAGCGGATGCGCGGGCAGATGGAAGCTGAGGCCGCCAAGCGCCGGGCCGGGGCCCTGACGTCACCGCCGCCGTGGCCAGGGCCCCCATCCGGCTCCCTGAGAAGGTGCTACGTGGGGCTCGAGTTCTCTCCGCGCGGACCCTGCCCAAACTGCCCGATTTCCTCTCTAGGCCCTGGACCGTGCCCGCGTCGGGCAAGTTTGCAGTCTCCCGAGGTGTTGAGAGCTCTCGCCCCTCCACAGAGCTCTAGCTCCTGTACCCCAGCCTTCTCCACGTTGATATCGTGACGCCAAAGACGGCTCTAGACTCTAGACTTCCCAAATCAGAGGCTCACTGACTCAAGTTCTGCCTTCCTCTTGCCTCTTAACCCAGACCCTTATTTTTAAGGAGTTGTTTGTTCCTCTTTGGCGCTGAGGCTCAGCATGAGTTATCTTGATCTTAGTCCTTCCTAATGCCAGAGGCTGCGGATAGACATGGCTGTGGGATGCTACAAGAGCTATGTGGATCCCGGGAATATTGCCCCCCCTGCCCCCTAGGATCAGAGTAGGTGGGAATGGGAGGATGCAGATCTCTCTTTCCCGTTTATAAAATAGGGATAATATATAGTTACCCCGCAAAAGATGAGTACAAAGTCACTGACGCTAAACAGAACTGATAGCTATTACTTTTCTTACTGGCCAATGGTGATAGGGAAGGTGATAGGGAAGGCAAAATAGTCTCATTTAGATTCCAGAGATCAATACAGACATTTGGGTTCTTCCTCTGCTTGCTGGTCTTGGGCGATGAAATTAGCCTTGTTCGGACCACCCTTCTTCCTTTTCCAGTGCCCTTCCTGGCTTTAGGGTTCGCCTAGGAAGTTATTCTGCAAACTTGCCACCCCTGGGCATCTTTCTGAAGGGAGGGATACAGACATTCCTGGCAGGAGCCGCCCCCACCCATAAAAGGCAGAAAAAATAATTACTGTATTAAAAGGAGCAGCAAATTCTTCCCGAGGGTTCTTATCGCTGGCAGCCAGACCAGTAGCAGGACTGCGCCCCCACCCCCACCTCGTGACGTCAGGGTCTGCAGGGCCTCCGGATGAGATGATTCGTTTGAGCGTCCCAGAAAGGACCATCCGAACGCAGGGCGAGGCCAGGGGAGCTGGCCCCCTTCCCCAGCACCCAGCTCCAGCTTTTGAAGTCTCAGAGGCTCTCCCCCTCAGCACAAGCAAAGACAGCAATAGCAGAGTCTTCACTACACATACAGTCAGGCACAGGACAACCATCTCCATCACCTTGACACTCTATATACTTATATAAATATATATTTATCCATTTACATATATGTAAAGAACAATATTTATAGATTTTTTTATTTGCTAACTAGAGTTTGTTGTGAGGTCTGAATGAGTTATTTTGATTTACATGTGTTTTGAGGTGATCAAAAAATTACACTAAATGCCTTTACAAAGTACACCACATCCTTATTTTATTTGGCGCAGCATAAGTTTCACTGGTGGTTGGCGAACCAGACTCCCAAAAGTTTTCTGGTTCTGATATGGAAAGGCGATTAGGACAGTCGCTTCTGGCTTGCCATTGCTATGCCATTTCCACTTTCCCTTTCCTTCTCCATCCCTAATAATTTGTGTAGCTTGTAATAATCTTTTTTTAGAATCAAAAAACTATTGCTGAGAGAACTCCTTGGAACGGTGATTTAAACTGTAGATAAGAATGACATTTGGTCTGTGCACTCCATATGAAATGTATAAAATTATGTGTTAGGTGAAAGCACCTCTGCATCTCTCAAGTTTTAGTTATGACCTAATGTAATTCATTGAATGCCCTTGCAACAGGAAGGATTGCAGGGCCTTATATGGGTTAGACTAATGATTTGCTGAGAATTAGCCAATATTTCACATACAGTCAGTTTAGTATCAACTTACATTCAGGTTGATTTGACGATCACATGTAACTCAATTCGGGGTTATTGCATAATATTACAGTTTAATCAGTCTGAAATACTAACTGGCAAAGTTGTGCTTCCTTCTGCTCAAAGTCCTTTTCTCTTTCTTTGTTTCCCCCTTACTCCCACCTCCAAGGAAAATCTCATAAACTCGTTTGCCTTGTGAGAGTTTGTTTATTCCAACTTCTGTTAAACTAGACTAACACTCTATCATCAGCTTTCTAAACACTCTCTCATCAGCTTTGTAAAATGGTGCAAAAACATCTTGGAGTCTAAGATGGCAAAATAAACCTGAGCATATGGGAGGAAGACTTCATTGTTAGAAAATTGATTTAAATGTTTAACTCACACTTCAGCCTCGATGCCTCCCTTACTACCCTCTCTCACTTTGCTCACTGCCCACCCCTGGCTCTTGGGTACCTCACCTCTATTAGCAAGTTGGTTCACCAGCATAAATTATGAATGGATTTCCAGCCACCCTTCTGTAAGATAAATCAGGGGCTTTTCTCTTTTGCAAATTTCTACTTTCCTTCCCATTAAAACTTCTCCGTGAGCCATGCTGCAGTGTCTCTTTGCAAACTTACTATGCCAGTGTAAAATATGGAGGCATGTTTTCAATAGGAAAAACCAGGTAATCTTTTCTTAAGAAGCCTTACACGTTAAGGATACAAAATATTTCATGGTTAGTTGTGTGAGCTTCCAAATTAGCTGCATATAAAGTATTTTAAGATTTTTTTGGCTGTCACTGGCTGGCAATACTCATTTTGTGTGTGTGTGTTGGTTTGAAAAGCAGGAAGAAATGTAATGAATTGAGTGCTGTCAGAGATGTCTTCTGTTTGAACAATCTGCGATGGGCTGAATGGCAGAGACTCCCTCATCCAGTGCAGGTGCAGTAGAGCTGGGGAAGGGGGGGGGGGGCTCCCTCTGTTCAGTCAAAAAGCACCATTCTCCACAATAGACCACACACTGACAGCCAGCGTGACATCAACTCACACTTTCATACTTTTCCCCCCATCCATAGTTCTGAGTTCACAAAGTGGCCATACAGTAGCCTTGGTTAGGTTCCTTTAATGAACATTTTTGTGGCTCCATGACCAACATTGAAATCTGCTGAGCCCTGGGAGGAACAAATAGATTTTTAATCGAGAGTTCCAAATCAAAACGTATAGCCATAGATTTTTAAAGTTAAGCTGGTCTCTTTACTCTCTCCCAATATCCATGCTCACAACAGCCATCGCACCCCCCCACCCCCCACCCCCAGATGATCTGAAAACTCTGAGTTAAAAGTTCTTCTAAGATTCACTAGGTTCCAAGACGCTGTTTTCTGATGTCTGGAGAGAGAGACCAAACAGGAAAGGAGAGACGGCACGAATTTGGGGTGTTTATTTAAATTTAAAAGAAACTCTAGTATTTTATTATGCTTCGTAAGAGGGTTAATCCTGCAAATGAACGGACATTAATCTGGTGGAGTGGAGTCTGTCTCCTTTTGAATTGGTTTTACTGGGAGATAGAGAAGGGGGTTAGGAAAGACAGCAACTGTTCCAAAACTCTCGACAAAGATGCGACCACCCTTTGGCTGCCCCGCCGCTGAAGGGCCAGACCTTCTGAAGATTTCATTTTTACATTTGTTTAAACTCAGGCCTCGGTGCCTCAAGTTTTAAATGGAATTATTCAAGGAGGGTTCACTACTAGAGAAATTCTTCTCGTCCATCCCTTCTTGCCACCATCCCCACGCGGTTCCTACTCTTCTCCGCCCCCAACCTCAACCCCCCCACTCCCCCGCACTGCTTAATCTGGGATCCGAGCGTTTGGTGGAAAGAGGGAGGGGCGAGGAAAGGACTCTGCGGACCAGGAAGGTTCCCCCAGCACCGCCGCCGCGCGGGGCCAGATTCCATGGCCCTGCCACTGGCTGATTTCCCTCTGTGCCCGGACTTGCTGAAGCATCGCGCCGAGGAAAATTGCTCCCCTGTTTGCTTATTTAAAAACCATGTAACCGTATACATTTTTAATCGCGGCAACAAAAATATCAACTTTCCAGCCCTTGGAGCAAAACCTTTATCATTCGCCTGAACATTGTTCAGTGGGGTGGGGGCGGGAATAGGCAGACCTCTCAGGGCCGAAGTCACAACCTTACCCAACACTCGCCTACGGCGTGGAGGCAAGGAGTCGGGAGTCCGAGGATTTGGTGAGCAGGGTAAATAAGGACCAAGTTCTCCAAAACCTCAAATAATACAGAAGAGATGTATCTTACCATCTCCGTGGCGCCCTTGGCTTGGGACTGCAACGAGTTGCCGATGCCCTGCGATAAGTATGCCTACGGCGCCTACTAAAGTCTTGGCCTCGGAGGAGAGGCGTCTCCCTCCCCTCGACCCGCTGCCCGCCACCACTTGATAACTGCCGCGTCTTCCGGCAGGTACACACCCACAATTAATCTTTCTTATTAAAGCCTCCATTCTGTACCCAAGGGGCGACTCAAACCTATTTAGATTTCCTTGGTTGGCTGCACAAATTTAAGTGGGCAAAGAGTTATAAACCTAATAATAGAGGGCGAGACAGAGTGATTTGAGTAGAGAAGACGCAAAGATCCACCAGGGGTGTAAGGATGCTGCGGGCCTTGCCCGCCCCAGGCCCCCGCCTCCGGTTGCACTCTAGGCTCTGGGAAAGGCAGCGAACCTCCCGCGCACACACCACACGCAACCCCGGTACACACACCTTCATCGCTCACAGGTACACTTGCCCTGAAATTGCCTCTTCCCGATTTCTTATAAACCCCTCCCAGAAAGGAGGAATTTTCAGAGCATCCCAAACCAGGGAACTCCCAGAGAACCAGGGAAGGTCTGCACTGTTTGGGATTAATTGAGAATAATTAACACTGGAGACCGTTAATCACCACTTTGCTGCTTTCTCCCTCCTTTCGGGTCTGCGGCGACTGCCTCTATCGCTCCGGCTGCCGGCGCGGGTGGGTTCGCTGGTGAAAGTGAAGACGTCGCGGTAGCTGTCACCCAGTTCGGCTGTACTTTTTTAAACGCTCGCATATTGTTTGATTACTAATTCGAGTTAATATGATCTTTATGGCAACATAACAGTGGATAATTGGCCTTTTTTTCTGAACAACAATGTAAATCACAATCGCTTTATTATTTAATAACGTCAAACGCTTCGTTGGATTGGCCCCGACCGAGAAGACCTTTTCTTTCTAGACAGTGTTGTGGAGGAAGAACAATGAAGATCTAATTGTGGAGATTTCATAAGTTGGCTCCCGTAAATGAACAGCTTAGATATGGAAGTTCCAGCAGATGTGGGCACTACTCGCCGTAGACACTCTGCCCCCACCCCCCAATGCACTCAGCCCAAACACTCTATTGGAGGTTTTTGTGGTGGTGGTGGTGGTCCTCAGATCCTAGCAACCACCCAAATCTTCCAGTAGCAATTAGAGCTTTTATCGGGCTTGCTCTTCAGCCCTTTATATTGCCGGTTTAGCATTAAGGCATTGAGTCCACATACCAAATTAGCGCAGCTCCCGAAGAGCCACAACCACTAATGCGCCCCTTCGGTTACTTTGGTTGTTGGACACGGAGAGCACCGACTCGGGGCTTTTAAAAAGTCTTATTTTGTTTTGATTTGATTTTAAAAACGGCTTCACCAACGCAGTGTCTTGGAATATACTTTTTCAGGTAGGGTTTTGCAAGAGGCACGAGTCATTATTTTGCTAATGCCTGCAAGAGCAGATGAAAGCCAGAGACCCCTCAAATGCAGATGGCAACGCTTGGAAGGATGGGCCCTCGTGGCCCGAATGAGAGATGAGTCACATTTGCTCCCAAAGCCCCAATTCTAACGGTTCTCTGTCGCGGCTCTTGCAGACTCAGGAGGACCGCTGTCTCTGGGGGTCTTAAGACTTTGGAGTTTTTTGCAAATGGGGAACCTTCACCATTTGCAGTTCGGGTCAAGGAGAGAGACTCCGAGCCTACAGCAGGTTTTGTTTTTTTGCGTGTGTCCGCCTCTCCATTTTATTCAACTTCTACTGCCTGTCGGGAGGAAGAACAATTCGCCTCCCTCCTGCCCACCCGCCTCGCTTCTAAGATAAACAAGAGGTGCGAAATGCTTCGCCCGCACACGCGCCCTCGGGGCCCCTCTCCCCTCTCCCCCGGCGTACCGACTGTGCAGCTGTCCTCCGCCCAGACCTGAGTGGAGACACCCCACCCTTCTCTTCCCACCCGCATTTTAAAACCGTCACATCGACGGTTCTGGAGTCATGTTCACATTTTCGGCCCTTCTTCCAATTTTTTTCCGGTCCACTCTCCCCCTTTCTGAGAACGGAAAAAGTGACAAAGAAAAGAGTTGAGAAAGTGAGAGAAGGCCATGAATTTTTCAAAACTTATTCTCCCATCCCACCCCGCCCTGTTAAAAGTGTATTTTACCACAAGGAGTGCATTAGGAAACTTTCCCTAACAGGACTTGGGCGCAGTGTTATTCTTCTCCAGGGGCCCGCTGGCCTCCCCGCCCCCGCTGGACAATGCGCGCTTTGAGGCTCGGTGGCCTGCAGGCAGCGGGAGACGAGGGGACTGGGCGGCCTTCCTCCAAGGGGCCCGCAGCTGGGGGAGCGCCGGGCAGGGAGCAGGGCCCGGGAGGCGGGCCACGCAGAAAGAAAAACCATAAAAGCACAAGTTTCCTCCCCCCCTCCCCCCCCGCCCCAGCCCTCCGCAGAAGTCGGCTTTGAGGACGTGGGGGGAAGGGCGGCTGGGGAGGGGGATGTCAGAGGTTTTGCATTTTGTTTCTTTCTTATCCTGCCCCCACCCCCTCCCAAACATTTTATTTCGACACAGAATTGTGCAGCCTAGGGTTTCCAACCCTCGCCTTCACTCTTGGGTACCTGGTCTCTGGTTAACATCTCAACCCGGGTCTTTAACGCTCGAATCGACCCGACGCCCAAGCCTGGCCCAAGCCTTTCTCAACGCCGACTACCCCCCATCCCCCACCTCAAGCCTCCCACCTCGGGGTGCCGGGCTACAGGGGAAGCCCCCTTGGCCAGGTACTCTGGGATGCTAGTTTCTAGTTTGGGGTCCTTTTTCTCCCCAAGAGAACACCACCACACTCCCTCCGTGCAGCACCAGGGCAGGACCGCTGAGATCAGCAGAAGCCCTTGAAGGGTTACTATATTGGTGCAAGCGTTTGTCTGCTGTTTTAAAAGTTATAACAAACGGGGCGCCAAGGCCACGTGCTGTGCCTTCGAAAAGCCGCCGCGGGCCCAGGCTTTCAGAGCCGCGGACGCCGGGCTGGCGCGGAGCGGGCTCAGAAACCCCGCGAGGGCGTTAGGGGCCCGCGCTGCGCCGTAGGTCTGGCCGCAGCGCTGAGTGAAGCGCATTATCTGGAGCGTGTTTGATCTGGGACTGCGTAGTCAGCTTCTGCTTTATTTGTTTGTTTGTAATCTCATATTTAGCAAGCTGGGACGGTGGCAGCAAGGGAGAAAAGGAAGGGATGGAGGAGGGGGCTTCGCAGTAACCACACCCCTTCCTAATGAGTTAATTTCCATATTTGCGCCTCCCGTGTCTAGCGCCCTCTTTTTCGCGACGCTACCGTGCTGTTGCGTCTTGCGCTGCGCAGACGCCTCCTCTCAGGGTTGAAATGAAAAAGCTCGCGGTGGGAGCAGAAAATTGGTCTATTGATACATTCGCTCCGAGTCTTGGTTGATTTTTTGGCATCACCGGCAAGCGGTTATTCCCCCCGCCCCAAATGGTGTGCACACGGATTGCAGAGCTCGCAGACACACAGGCAGGCAGCAGACAGAAATCGACCTTCCTGCTTTTTCCCGTGCTCCAACTGTCCGACCCCCACGTCCCTTTCTTTTTACCCAACTCCAGATTTTTTTTTTCCCTCTCTCTCTATCTCAAGGTGAGGGCAAGAGAGGGCGGGGTCGCAAAGAAAGGGAGGATACAATCCCAAACGAATGAATCAAAAGTGAAAGTTTCAAAGTAGATCCCCGGTCCTGATCGAGAAAATAATGTTATCTTGCACTCGAGGGAATGTGCTGGCCCGAGTCGTGTGTATGTCAGAGAGGAAAGGAGAGAAACTGACGTTGTGAGAACTGTCTGTTCTGTGAGTCGGTTAAAAGTTGTGGCAAAGATAGTGAAGTTTTGGAAGACCCTCAGTCGAAAACTCGAGGCAGGTTTCAGGTGCTTCTCACCTGGTTTCCCATACATTTTTGTGGCACGCCTGCTCAGGAAATTGGAGAAACAAACTTTTACAATGTGCTCACAACCCCCCCCCCCCTTACCCGCACCGCATCACCCTCCTTCTTTGCTGCGCGCGAACTAGGGTGTGGGTTCGGGTTTGAGCTCCAAAATAGCGTGCTTGTCAATTGCGAGCTGTAGCAATATCAAAGTGAACTGTCCCAAGTAACTCTTGTCTAGAAGCTGGGAAGAAGCTTAAGCAGCTCGCTTTAATGATGATTTGTAGCTCGGCGAGGGACACGGACAGCAAACACCCCGCAGGTGTGTGCCGTAACACCACCATCCGGACTTGAATGTAGATTACTCTGGCGATCGTTTGATCGGCCCTTTGAAACCCTTCACAATTGCCTGTGACGAACAGCCAGTCTCAGTTTTTCTCGGAATAATGCCTTGAGGGTAAGTCCTTCGGGCTTTTAAAGAGCTCCAGTATTTTTTTTTTCAAGAAGAAAAAAACCCCAAAAACGTTCGATTTTGGCTTAGACGTTGTCAACTTTGAGTCGCTAACAGGCATCACTCAAGCTATTCAATCCTTAATGGCCGTTTACCTTTGCTGCTTTTATATATATATATATATACGATATATATATATATATATATATATATATATATCGTATATATGAGAACGAAGTCATTAATTTTGTTACAAACTGCCCTGACTGTTTACAGATGTTTGTGTGGGTGTTAATTTTAGACATGCAGTATTATTATTAATGGCATTGTTAATCTTGTCTTAGTATGTTCTCTGTATTCTCTCTTGAGTTCTATCTCTTTGAGCAGGTGGGAGTTTAGCTTAAACATTAAGGCTTTCCAAAACTAAAACTGTAGTTTAACCTGCCACCGACACCTTCACACCAACCCCCATCACCCAAATGAAAGAGGTAGTGCCTGTTCAGCCTTTAATATTTACTTTGAGTGTTTATATAAGGGGAGGAAAATGAACTTTTGTCTGAAACGTGCAACAAGCGGCACTTTGATTCCATAAAATAAATGTCAACAATTGCAAGAGCTTATCAAACTAGGGTAGGGGGTGGAGGGTGGGAGTTGCAGTTGAATTAAAGGCCCATTCCTGCCATTTCAGACTACAAAGGGTTACACATAAATAAGTGCCACATTTGCCTATTGCAAAAGTTTTCTCGGCGCTTTCTAAGTCACAACAGGGGAGGAGGAAAGCTGTCGTTTATTATCAGCTCTGGGCAGGAGCAGACCCCAGAACCACGAGGCTCTTAGCTTTGGCCGGCAGAAGAGGGGTAGCCTTTCAACAGCAGCCCCCTTTGTTCTCCCGATCTCTTTCCCAATTTCAAGCTTCACTTGCACATCCCAAGTTTGTGTGTTAATGACGCTATTACCATCTGGCTCGCCCTACTTTCCAAAAGATATAAATCTCCTAGCTCCATTGCCCGCATTATCATTTAAGTGCCACCATAGCCAGAAGAAAAAGATGCTTTCAAGACTCCAGATTCTCTTGCACGGACTACCCCTGGCATGACTCTTCCACGATATTTATAGATTATACATTGGGTGCGGGAGAGCTCCCCGAGAGCCCTGATTTCTCAAGAGCTGTCCCTCCAAGCCAAGGAAGACATGCTACTGGGTGAAAGGAGGACTTCAAATAAATTTCCCCATAATATATTTTTGGTTTGTTTATAGCAAGCAGATCATTTGCCCCAGCATAGTTTTACGTGCCTGTGTCTCCCTTTCTCCTGCTTCAGGTTTGTAAAAAGTCGAGGTACAACTCCTAGACATTCAAGATGTGCCACTCTTCAAACCCTATTTTGAGTGGGAGAATAGACTGACCTCTTTATGGGAGTGGGGGCAGGGGTGAAGGGAGGAAAAAAGTCCTGTGAGGCAACTTTTGGGAGCTGGGACAACTGCATCCCCTCTCTTAAACCCTCACTTTTATAGGGCCTGCGTAGATGTGTAGATGTTGTGGGATGTGCCCACTTCTAGCTATAGATTTAGATCCAGCTCTTTTTTCCCAGGTAATCAGTGATTTGTGTGTTTTGAGTGCAAAAGCTGAGAAACTACAACAAAAAGATTTGGGCTGGCTTGCGAGTGGCTCCACAATGACCTCATTTATCTGGCCAGGTCTGAGTGACCAGAGCAGAGCAGAGTCTGCCTCCAAGGGCACGGAATCTAGACTCAGGCTGCTAGCTGATTTGAACAGCTCATTTCCCTCTGAGAGCATCTCCTGTCTGTGGCCCTAGATGGCCATATCCAGGGGTATCTCTCTCCTTCCCAATGCCATTTCCACGGAGGTGAGTTCCACTAAGATCAGCCAACCCCACAGGTGGGAAGTGGAATTGGATAGGTGAACTTCTCAGGTTCCTAAGAAAAGCTTTTAAAATCAGGATTTGAGCAGACTCCTCTCTCTGACTCTTAAAAAAAAATCTTGTCAGAGAAAGAAGAAATTATATTCTTCTGGAGGGATGAAAAAACTCACCTGAGTATATTCCTAATACTTTGAACTGAGCACAGAAGATACCCAAAACAGTGATTAATTTATATCGCACCCATGTGGCTGTTTGCATGCAAAACCCACTTTTTTTTTTCCAGTTCACTTTCCTGCTTTCCCTCCACCCCAAACTCAAAAAAGATCTTGTTTAGAAATGTGTATCCCTATTTTTTCCTTTTGAGAATATTATCAAGTTGATATGAACAAATTGCAGAGGATATACCATTTAAGTAAGATGCACTTTTAATCACTGATCATTAAAATGGTTATGTTAAATATACTCAATTACATGCATGACTTAACTCTAACAGTACTTTCTATTCTCCCAGCTGCTCACGTATTCCTTAACGATAGTCTGCGGTAGAAACTTGATTATGCTGAATTCATACATTTCGATGGATTTCATCAGCCTAATTAATGCCTCAGTGTGGTCCTGGGGTCTGAATGAACCCTTTACTATGTTTCAGGTTAAAGGCAGTATTGGAATGTAGTCGGTTTTTCTTTCTTTCAAAGTACTCATGGATTTCTTTCCAAGTACTCAAAGTACTTTGGAATTCCACTAAGAAAGGTAGGTAGCAGTTGTTAAACAGAAAGACAGCAAAACAAGGACACCCATCCTTATGACGGAAGAGAGACGAGGCTAATCTCTCATCCTTCCTTCCATGTCAGTGTTTCTGGATTTGATAGACAATCTCCAAATATTTAGTAAACAGGAAATTACCACCTGCCCCCTTGTACCTTAAAACTATGCTAAAAAGGAAAAGTTGAACATAGAGTTATAACCAGTGGCTAAATAAATTCCCTTTAATTCATCAAGACTGTCCCTACTCCCCACCCTTCTTCCTGCTCCCGGCCGTAACTTTTAGACAACTTTCCCCTCCATTTCAACTTTCACATTTCCCAAGGAAGCACTCAAGGCCAGCATTCATGAGAAACTCCAGTCACCCCCCATGTGGCTAACTGCATTCAGCCTTTTCAGGTGTAAATTAACATCTGAATACATCTCAACCTTGCTGACCCTTGCCACCACCACTGCCATCCGGGCCTCAGCAGAGTCTCAGCTAATCTACAAGGCCACAATTGGCAGGGCATACTGAGGTCGGATTCCCAAACCCCGCCCCCAACAAAAGGACCGAATAGTGTTTGTGTTGCCTGTGAGAGCAGGACCGATATCTGCCCATGTCCAGTGAGACACCTGTGGAAGAATATCATTTAAGACATTTTCTGGGTGGTCAAGGAAAGAAGTGTACGGAAAGAGGAAGGAAAAAAGAAATGGAGGCATCTGTAAGAAATGTCCCAACCAGGGCAGCTGACACTTGAAACTTTTACCTCACTTTGAGTTCCCGAGGACAAACGGTTCAGGTCAGAAGAACTTCCCTCCAGCAGGGGATCCACTGACTCGGATCCTAGTGGCGTGGACGCAGGGCAACCTCATACCGCAACACCAATCTGATGGAAGAGGAAGGATTTGAGATCTATAACCAAATTACCACTTGGAACTTTGTGCTTGTTATGCTAATGTAATGACTTCTGTAGTAAGAGTATATTTTTCAGAGTTGAAAATGAGCTTTTTAGAATGCTTTGTGTAATGACAGACATTAGACAGAAGAGACAAATGTGCCAGCAGTGGTGGCACAGTACTCCTGGCAA